AGGGGAGGAGGCACTGTAGTGCCATTGGTTGAGTTAGAGGAGTAACTACCCATAACACAATAGTTTTGTGACCCTGGAAAATTAACAACACCTCAGTGTGTTAGGCAATTTTATAAGACTGTAAGTTGCTTATTTGATTGGGGAGGAATTTTTGTACCAGTCGTTTTTTAGTTAGGCAGCTAGATGGTTCAGTGAATAGAGCACTGGGCCTAGAGTTAGAAATACAAGTTCAAATTTGCCTTACACATTTTCTAGCTTTGTGATCTTGGAGAAGTCACTTAACCTTTGTTTGCCTTAATCCATTGGAGAAGGAAATGGCAAACCACTCTAGTATCTTTGGCAGGAAAACCCCATAGACTGTATGGTCCGCGGGGTCATGAAGAGTTGGATGTGACTAAACAATGAGTTCTCTATAGGCATAAAATCACAGGTCTGGAACCTCCCTCCCAATTTTGTTTTAAAGTTTAAAGGTTCTTAAAGCATTCATTTTCAGTAGGTTCATGGTCTAAATTATGTTAGTCATGAAATTCTATGCATTAATGATATGATACATAAATTTTACTTGTGATTGTTAACTCTTCTTACATATTTTCAGTGCATACAAATTTTGACTTTGATATACTTTAAATACATGATATTCAATAAGTAAACTATTAATTTGGTAAGAGAAAGTCAGCAGATAGAGAAATGATCAAAGCTCTGATTCTTAGCTGGGAACATCCAGGTGATCTAAAGATTTTACACACCTGGATGAAGAAAGGTAGTAGTGGTGACTCTAGAGGGAAATCCATTTTTAAAAAATGACGGAATTTAGAAACAGAGAATTAGAAGACTTCAGGGAAAATTGGGAAGACTTTTATAAACTGATGCAAAAATCAGGAGGACAATTTGCCAACTAATAATGTAATTAAAGAAAACATTGCAAGACCTCCTTTACCAGAGTCAATTAAAGATGAATTGTACCATTCTAGACAGTAATTTGGAACTATGCCCAAAGGGATATAAAACTGTGCATACCCTTTGATCCAGCACTACCACTACTAGGTCTGTATCCCAAGGAGATCATAAAAGAGGGAAAAGGACCCATATATATGAAAATATTTATAGCAGCTCTTTCTGTAGCGGCCAAGAATTGGAAATTGAGGGGATGCCCATCAGTTGGGGAATGGCTGAACAAATTGTGATATATGAATGTAATGGAATACTATTGGTCTATAAGAAATGATGAGCAAGCAGATTTCAGAAAAACCTGGAAAGACTCACATGAACTGATGCTGAGTGAAGTGAGAAGAACCAGGAGAACATTGTACACAGCAGTAGCCACATTGTGCGATGATCAACTTGGATAGACTTAACTCTTCTCAGCAATGCAATGATCTAAGACAATTCCAAAAAACTCATGACGGAAAATGCTATCCACATCCAGAAAAAGAACTGTGGAGTCTGAATGCATATTGAAGTATACTATTCTCTCTCTCTCTTTCTCCTTGTCATTTTTTTCCCTTTTGTGCTGATTCTTCTTTCATAACATAACTAATGTGGAAATGTGTTTAATATGATTGTACATGTATAGCCTAAAAATGAATTGTAGAAAAATAAAATTTGGGGGAGGGGTAGTGATCCTGGCCTGCTATTATTAGATGTTCAAGAAAGCCATTGAATCCATAAGGTATAATCTCAGCAATTCTTTACTCTGTTGGTCTGAAAGAAAGTAGAATTACTGAATCTCTTTTGGCTGACGTTATGACGTGTTTAAATGCCTTCATTTTCTAAAGTAGTTATAGCCCCACTGGCTGCTGGTCCTCCCTCTCTTCCCCTCCCCTCTTTTTATTAGCTGCTCAGTTGTAGGTCGGATAGAGGTTGGAGATGTCAGGAGAAGGGGTTACCCAGACCAAGTGGGGCTCATAGCTTCCCCGGGCTCTTCCCAGCCAGTGATCTCTGATATGTAGATGCTTTCATTTATATTACTATGATTTTCTAATGATAACATAATAATAACAACAAAATAGTATGTTTGAGTAATAACAATGCAATACATTGACTATTTTAGAAAACATACCTCATTCCATACCCATAGATCACTATTAGCTCTCTCCTCAGAGGAAGAAGGCATACTTTGTCATCAGCCTCTCTCTAATAGTAAACTTAGTGACTGCACTGATCAGAGTTTTGATGCTATTACTAAAATATTTTTTTAAATCCTTTTTTAGTGTGAATGTGACAAACATCAGTAAAAACGTTTTCTCATACAAAGAACAGACAAAGGAAATGGTGTAGGAAGCTTTGAATCCCTATTACATATAGCTTGGGGTTTGAATTTATTTTAATGTAACATGGTTTTTCCAATGTTTCCTGCTTGTCTGTTTCTCTCTCCTGAACTTCCTTCTGTTCTCTTCTGTTTCTTTTTATTTTGATTTTCTGTTTATTTAAAAAAAATGATTTGCAAACACTTTATTTCCCCCCTCCTTTTTTTTCATCATTAGCATTGTTTTCGCATTTACCCTGTCCCTTTTCCCCTCCCCTCCCATCCCAGTGATCTTTTCTGTCTCATTCCCTCCCAAAATAAAAACCTTCCCTTGTTTTATTTTTTCATAAAGAGTAAAGTTACATAAAACAGATCCACACATACACACATAAGCTATGTCTGAAGAGATATGCTTCATTCTTCACTTCTGGTTGTCTGCCAAGAGGTTAGAAATGTGGTTCAGAAGTTTTAATGTATTTATTTTCCATTATGTTATTGGAATCCTTATTTAAATTATTCTCCTGGTTTGACTTACTTCTGCTTTGTATCATCAGTTCACACAAATCTTGAGTAAGTGAAAAACCATTTGTTAAGTACTTTTTATATGTTAGGCACTACACTAACTGCTGGGGATACAAATATATTTTAAAAACAGAACAGCCCTTGCCTTCAAGGAAGTCTCTTCTGATAGCAGACAACATATATGAGGAGTATTCACCAGGGGGATGTATTTGGCTATTGGCCAATGGAAAGTGGGATTGACCAGCAGATGATGTAATGACTTGGGATCTGAAGCCAAAGCAGGGTCTAGTACCTAAACATTATAGACCTGGTGGGCTACTCTGTGCACTTTGTCACTAATCAGCTGGTTTTGGCCCTGGGGCCTGCCCTTCAAAATTGAATGGATTTACTTGCCTAGTAAATTGGGGCAGCTAGATGGCACAGCAGATAGAGTGCTAGACTGAAGTCAGGAATACCTGAGTTCAAATTTGGCCTCAGATGCTTATTAGCTGTGTGATCCTGGGAAAGTCACATAACCTTGTTTGCCTCAGTTTCCCCATCTGTAAAATGAGCTGGAGAAGGAAATGGCAAACCACTCCAGTATTTTTGCAAGAAAACCCCAGGGGTCATGAAGAGTTGGACATGACTAAAAAATGACTAAACAACACTTGCCCAGACACTAGATTGTGGAACATTTCATAATAGGGTGGAGGTTCCAAGTCTAGGTGGAGGCTCTTGGTCCAAGTAGGGTTAAATTTGGTCAGCAGCAGCAGGCAGATGGAGACATGGCTGATGGGCTACAAAGCTGAAGTTTTCTAGAATTCTTCTTTTTTTGGTTACTTTCACCCCCACCATCTTTCTTCCTGGTTTTCTTCTGCTGTTACCACTGCATCTGCCTACTACCTGTGCTGATTCACTTGGGTTTAAGTGGATAATTCCCACTGAAAAAACAGCATTTTCCATAATTTCTCCTTCTGCTGATCTCCCTTTCCCAAGATGATAATTTTTCTATTGAACAAATCATTATCGAGGACTATTAATCCACATTTGGAGTATTTAGCAAAGTCTAAAAATGTAATTTAGGTTTTTTTTAATTTTTTTTTTTAAATCTCCCTTTTAAAAGTCACCCTTCTAATGAGTTACCTTGTTATCAGAGTGGGATTCAACCATAGCTTATGAAAAGTGTGTGGTTGGTGATTATGATTTCATATTATGTTATCTAGATGTTCTTTCAGACCTTTCAATTCCACTTGGGTGTTTCATAGCCCAGATGATGCAGACCTCAGCCTAGCACATGTACAAAAGCATGCCTGATAGGGGAGGAAAGCACAGAATTACCATTAATGAAGGTATCTCTCTGGTCCTAAAAAGGTCTTTAAGACAATTTATTGTGCCTAGTGAAGAACTTGGTAATGGAAAAACAGGAAGTGTTGGAAATAAATGCAGAGATGGGAAAGTAATTGATGTCCAAATGTACTGCAAACATTCTATAAAATAATTTATTGGTGTCTTGAGCAGATGCAATATAGTGAAAGTAGAAGTCTCACAGTCGCCATAAGGCTACATACACTCTGTATCTTTATGATAGCTTTGAAAAGTCTCTATTGCTTGCAGTGCTGGTGCTGGTCTATTCCCCATCCCTCTTTAATTTTTTTTCCTAAAACAAACAAAATTGGGAGCTTCAACCAAAGCTACCTTGGAAATCTAGCTTAAGAAGTTATTCAGTTTTCAGTTGTACCCTGCAAAATAAGTCCACTAATGATCACCCATCATGGCATTGGATACTATATTTCAGAGATACTGGGACAGGTAGATTTTTATTTGTCCATTGAATGACATTGTTATTTCTGATCTACAAAGGCCTGTTTAATGACCTTTATTTTTTTTACAGTAAAGAAAAAATTGTTGAATTAAATCTTTTGAGATGAATTTCTTCTCCAATTGGAATGATAATTAACATAAATTTGAAACAAAAACTGCTATTGATGAGGCAAATAATTCTTTTGATAATTCTTGTGATATAAACATAGGATTGAAATTGACAACCACTTGCAGGCTTTTGAATGGTATCTCCTTGGGGGAAAAAAAAACCAAATAACCCATTAAATGTTTTTGTTTTAATCATAAAGACAATATGCAGTATATATTAAAATTGCTAGAGATAATTTCACTAGTAATGGCATTTAGTGATTTAAATTTGATTCTTAAAATAAATTTGGCATTTTCCCTAAATATTGTTCTCTCATTTCTTTAGCCCACAAGCCCCAAATTTGGAAAAGCTGACTCTTACGAAAAACTGGAGAAACTGGGAGAAGGGTCTTATGCTACCGTGTACAAAGGAAAAAGCAAGTAAGTGTTCTGTTTTTGGTGAGCTTTATATCTGAATGGTACTTCTTACCTGATAACATATTGGTAGTTTTTTTTAATCAAAACATTTTAAAGAGTTTTTTTTTAATATTGCTTTTGTGTTCTGTGTCCCTCTCCCTTCCCTATCCCAAAGATTTTAAAAGAGAAAAAGAGAATTAATTTAATAAAACTAACATCTAAGAAGTGAAATATTGTATGCAGTGTCTCACACCACTGCCATGTCCCCCCACCTCTGCAAAGCGGGAGGTGAGGTGCTCATATCTCTTCTAAGCTTGGCCATTATAATTTTATAGCATTCAGTTTCATACTGATAGAATGTGAGGTAAGAAGAACCAGGAAAAGGTTCTACAACAGTGTAAATGAATGGAAAGTGTTTATTTCTTAAAAATGGAACATATATATGTACATATATATATGTGTGTATATGCATACAACCTCCCCTCCCCCAACATTTAGTTCTTTTTTCTTTGTCATTAGTGTACTGATGACAACATAAAATTGAAACAATATAAATTTGAAAGTGCCTTCTTCCAATAAGGCAACTTAGCAAATATGCCTAATTGCCCTTTTCTCTCTTGCCCTCCCTCCCCTTTTCTTGTGTTCTTGTTTGGCCCTCATTTCTGTACTGTACTTTTTCTCCTACTGTTCTCAGGTGCATTGGAATTATCTAATCATCTGAGATTCATCATCTAGGTAAAGGAAATAGTTTATTTCTCTTTGAGGAAGAGTTTGTTTTAGAATACTCATCTGATTGGCTGAACTAAATTAGTCATCGGCAAAGAGTCTTTTTGCATGTGATCTCTTTATATGAGATCTTTTTCCCCCCATCTTAACAGAAATCACTTTTGTACAAGAAAGAATTGCAGAGTTTTCTTCACATTGGCTTGATGTTGTACATTGCGAATATCTTTTCTGATTACTGTGATGAAATGAAAGAAATGAATATAAATTTTTTTTTTAGTGCTTACTATGAGCAGAGCAGTGGAGACAGAACTGGAAAAGCAAGGCAGCCTCCTGATCTCAAGGAGCTCACAGGGGAGCTGAAGGGGGAAAAAACACATAGATGTTTCAGCTGTAAGTCAGAGGGAAAGACCCCATGGTCCTTACAGTGCATTGGCAGAACAGATGGTAATATGACTTCTTCATTAGTATATCCATTAAGAACATTCTGACAGTTCTGATGTTGATGGTACTAAGGACTTTGGTGTAGAGAGAGAGAGAGAGAGAGAGAGAGAGTATGTGTGTGTGTGTGTGTGTGTGTGTGTGTGTGTGTGTGTGTGTGTATGTAGGGAAGGGGCGTTTACATGGATGATATCCGTGGGGAGGCAAAGGAGCGGAGTTGGTGGTGTGCAGGGTACTGTTGTTGCCAAGGTCCTGCCCGTTGGTGGCATTTGGTAGTATTGATGGGTCCTCTCTCCACAAGGGTGGCTCTCCACAATTATGGCTGTGAGGGGCCAGGCTGGAAGCAAGGGTTGAGGCCTGCTGTTGAAAATCAATGATGGTAGGCATCTAAGTGTTGCAGTGGCCCTGGAGTCAGGAGGACCTGAGCTCAAATCTGGCCTCAGACTTGATGCTTACTGATACTTACTAACTGTGTGACCCTGGGCAAGTCACTTAACGCCATTTCCTAGAAAAAAACAAAAAAACCCCAAAAAAGAAAATCAATGATAGTGAGATGCAGTAGAGAATGATTTTTAAATGACTGTTCTCCCCTCCCTCTCCCCTCACATGGCAGTAGGGTTTGTGTTCCTTCACCAAATCATTCCCAGGATTCTCTATTAAGGGGGTGGTGGGAGTATAAAGGTGGTTAGTGGCATGTTATTTTAAGAAGTCTTAACATTATTTCTATACTTGCCGTGCTAAATTTAAGCATGATTTTATTTTATTTTCTCTCCCAAAATGTCTTTTAGAAATAATCATTGATACTCTCTGGCCCTCTTTTTTTCTTCTCATTCTATATGATAAGTTATATTAGTGATTTAAGGGTACAGTACGGTCAAGTTGAGGGGCGGGGGTTGTGAGAGGAAAAAGCTAGATTTCAGAAACTCTGCATTGGTAAAGTGCCTGATCCCTGGCACAACTGTGGAGTGGGTCATTAAATTTATGCCTTGGGAGCACTTAGAAAAGGAAGCGCTGATTATAACTCCTAAAAATAAGCTCTGTACACATTCCTCACAACAACCCCAAGAGGTAGACAGAGTAGTTGTTACTGTTATCTGGACTTTACCAGGAAGGGACCAGAAATTCCGGAGACTGAACAACATAGGACACCTAGCTGAATCCCCCCATTTTACAGATAGTAAGCTAAAGGACCAGTGAGAGTAATTGACTTGATCACGGTCACACAGGTCTTAAGTAACAGAGCCAAGATTGAGCCCAGGATCCTCTGATGAAGCCAGTGTTCTTTTTATTAATAATGCAGGGCCTCTGTCTAATTGGTAGTTGTCAATAGTCAGGAAACATTTAGTAAGCTCCCACTACGGACCAGGCACAGTACTCAGCACTGGGGATAGAAAGATAAGCACGTAGTAGAGTTCCTGGTAGGTTTGCTTGTTATTCAGTCATTTCAGTTGTGTCTGACTCTTTGTGACCCTGTGGGCCATACTGTCGATGGGGTTTTCTTGACGAAGATGCTGAAATGGTTTGCCATTGCCTTCTCCAGCGGATTAAGGCAAATAGAGGTTAAGTGACTTGACCAGGGTCACACAGCTAGCAAGTGTCTGAGGGCAGATTTGAACTGAGGTCTTCTGGACTCCAGGCCCAGTGCTCTATGCACTGAGCTACTTAGCTGCCTCCTTCCTGGTAGCTAGTAGGCTCCTAATAAATGTTTATTATATGGTATTGTATTGGAAGATAAGGCATACATACAGTCTAATAGGAGAAAGTTAGCAAGTATGAGAACTGGGATTTGAACCCATGTTCTTCCTCCAAAGTCCATTTTCTTACTCCTATATCATGTTACCTCTTGTGACTATAGCTAGACTAGACTCAATAAGAGCACACCATTATAGGCTAACCTCATTTCCCTTTGAAATACAGGATTGTCCCCAAAGTCTTAATGCAGTTTTGGTTTTATTTAGATTTATTAAAGTTTAAAGCCACTCTAAGACTTTTGGGACAACCCTGTATTTTTTGATTTATAAAGCACTAGATAGTTTGTAAAGTGATTTCCTTGCAACTGCCCTTGTAAGATAGGTAGTGGTGATTTTATTATTCCTACTTTACAGACAAAAAAAAAAAACAACTAAAAACAATCTTGAGAGAAATAAAGTGACTTACCCTGGGTCACAAAGAGAGCAGAGCTAGCATGCCAACCTAGGACTCCTTTGTACCAATCTAGTCACCACAGAACTGGCAAATGGTATCCAAGTACAATCGTCATCCTACTTACCGGAGTCAGCCATTATTACTCTTGATTTGAAATTTTTCAAAGCAATTCTAATCATCAAATATTTATTTTGTATCTATTTAGCATGTGATGGGATAGCTAGGTGGTGCAGTGGAGAGAATGCCAAACCTGGAGTCAGGAAGACTCATCTTCCTGAGTTCAAATCCAGCCTCAGACATTTTCTAGCTGTATGACCCTGGGCAAGTCACTTAACCCTATTTGCCTTACTTTCCTCATCTGTAAAATGAACTAGAAAAGGAAATGTCAAGCCACTCCAGCGTCTTTGCCAAGAAAACCCCAGATGGAGTCACGAAGAGTCAGACATGGCTGAACAACAGAAACTATGTGACAGGTGCTCAGGATCCATAAATGCAAAAATCAATAGAGTTCCTAGTTCAGGGAGATTAGCCTATATTAGGAGTAAAACAATGTGAACAAAAGATGAGTAAATATCAGATATGCACAAAGGAATTTTTAGAAGATAATCGAAATTAGGGAGTAGAGAAAGGAGGGAGTAGGAATCAGGATGAGCCTTGTGTGAAGGTAGCAAGTGGCTCTGAGGCAGAGATGAGGCTGTGAGGACATCAAGCCTGAATAAAGTTCAGAAATTGGAACTGGAATATCATGTGTGGGGAATAGAAGCTAGGCTAAGTTTCCTTGAATTGTGGAGTATGTGAGGAAGAATGATGTCCTGGAAAAGTAGAGAGGGGCCATGTCGTCAAGGACTTTTTCGAGCATTTTGTGATCTTTCAGTCTATCCACCCATCCATCCATCCATCCATCCATCCATCCATCCATCCATCCATCCATCCATCTGTTTTAGATACTGATAGATATACTATGTCTATACATATGCATTTTACACTGAGCAAGTTGAAGCCCAGGATATGGAAAGGTCTTCTCTAAGATGACATCCTTGATAAGTGACTGAGCTGGTATTCAAATATATGTCTTGTGATGCTTAGCCCATTGCCCTTTCTGATAGATATATCACACTGACTCTACCTTTCTTAATTTCATTAAGGAATTTATCCAAGCCTTTCATGATGTCCTTATAGACAAACTAGGGAAATATATTTGATAATAGCATAGTTAGGTAAGTCAAGTCAACAAACATTTATTAAGTGCTTACTGTGTGCCAGGAACATTGCTAAGATTTTGGAATGGAAGAGAGCAACAAGAAAGACAGTCTCCATTCTTAGGCAGTGAGGAGGAAAAGGTATCTCCCAGGGCCATGATGACAATGTCTGGAGAGTCAGAAGCCCAGCTGGGAGAGAAGTAAAGGATTGAATGGAGGTTGCTGAAGGAAACTTCCCACAAATGAGATGAGGAGGTTTCAGTGATGGAGAGGTTTTCCAGGGTGAGAAGGAAGAATGAAGTAGATTTGTAACTGTGCTCATGTGGGTGGATCCAAAGAGTGTTAGCTGATAAAGCAGTCACTGTGGAGGGAGGCCTCTGGTACACCATAGGGGTCAATTCTTGGTCATGTCCTGTTCAACATTTCAATTAGGGATTTGAATGGAGACCTAAATAATGTGGTTATAACATGTGGATGACATGAATTTGGGAGAGAGACCCAATTCGTTAGATGACA